TGACTTTGGCGAAAGCCATCAGCTAAAAAGTAACAATTACATGGTAACAAAACAATAAGTTACAAAAATTACAATTGTTACCTATAAATTAATTATAATATACTAAGAACGTAAGTTTAGTAGAAATGTATAAGTTACAATTACATTATTAAACTTCACCGATTGTTGAAGTTAATATAATTATAAATTTGTTAGCACACAATGGTATGTTTTAGAAGATCCTGCACTGAAGCACAACCATAGACAATATCTAGGATTGTGTTAATTAAATTCCTTTCTAGAGATTTCTTGTAGCATCTGCCAATTTCACTGAAAACCACTAACATTATATTACTGTGCCTTTTTATGTTGAAATAATGTATATATATGCTAATACAACTTTCACAGTGCATATATTAACATACGTTTACAAATAATTGGCTTGCCAGTTACAAAAAATAGGAGCTGCGATAAAGAAATTGCATTTGAAAATCGTAACTGAACTAGTGTTGGACCGATTCGAATATAAATAAAAATAAAAAAAAAATAGTAAAGTCCTATCGTCAACTATTACTGCGTGAGTGTTTGTTTATTACTCTTTCACGTCTAAACTGCTGAATCGATTATGATGAATTTTAGTATACAGATAGATGGATACTCGGAGACTGTTGTAGGATAGTTTTTCTCCCGTTTAGTGAACATATCTCGATCACAGCAACGAAGTCGTGGGTAAAAGCCAGTTTTCTTTGTAGAATTATAATGGATTGGTAACCCCGCCTGAGTTAACGGTATACGCTGACGGGGCACCAGTGAGGGATGATAGGTGAGGATGAAATCAGGTCAGTTAGCCCACCGTGACGAATTCGACAAGAATTAACCACGATGGTTTCCATGGGGAACCGTGTGGAGGTCGACCTGATATATTGTTAGTAATGGAGCTGGTAAAATCCCATTACTAACAATCCCTTCCCCCCTGGTAAAAGCCAATTAATATAATACGAAAGCTTGCAGCGAAGGATGAACAGATGGATGTTTGTTGCTCTTTCACACAAAAAAGATTTTTCCAAGAGACTACAGCATGGGGTTCTTCAAAAGGGGGGTAAAGAGGTTTCTTCAGGGTCGGCAACGCGCGCGTAATACCTCTGGTATTGCAGGCGTTCATAGCCTACGGTAACCACTTACCATCAGGTGGGCCGTATGCTTGATTGCCACCTCAGTGGTATAAAAAAAAAAACACTAAACGGATTTGAATGAAATTTGGTACACTGATAGGTTACATGCTAACTTAGCACATAGCATACCTCATATACTAATTCATGCATGCAAAGACAATAAATAAATATATACATATTTATGTATATATTTATTTATTTAATATATTATGTGTATGTTGGTCATTTGGAGAGAATGGATGAAAGAAGAATTACGAAAGTGATTTATCGAGCAAGAATGGATGGAGATGTCGGTAGGGGCCGCCCTAGACGGACGTATGTCGACCAAATAGGCGACGTGCTGAAGAAGGGCCAAATTAAAAGTACCCGTAACCGGCGAGCGTGTATGAAAAGATTGATGAATGTGGAGGAAGCGAAAGAGGTTTGTTTGAATCGAAGCATTTGGCGTTCCATTGTTTCTGCCTACCCTAATGGGAGACAGGCGTGACAGATATGTATGTATGTATGTATGTGTATGTTTATATTATATGAATTTATCAAGTATTGCTTTATTCTTTCCTCTATTCAATAATGCACCGTCTAAGTATTTCTCTGTTCGCCCAATGGTCGACCGGTAGAGAACACCGTCCGGTGTTAAGTCCGCCATACGTACATAGAATTTTACTGTGCATTAATGTTTAAATAAACACTTAAAACTATGATCTGTGGTAAGATGGCATGATACCCCCCATGGCAACGCATGGGGGGTATCATGGGCGAAACAGTATACTCTGTTATATCCACGGTACTGCTCATGTCTATAGGCGACGGTTACCGCTTTCCATCAGATGGGCCGTCGGCTTGTTTGCCATTCTAAGTTGTATAAAATAAAAGAAAAAGATAGTCGGATTTCGGATAGTCTTGGAAACCATAGTGGTTGTTTCTTGTTTTAATTCGTCACGATGGGCCACATGATTTGCTTCCATCCGCACCTATCATCCCCAGAAGCAATTGGGGGCGGCCTATGTCGACAGACAACCTGACCAACATAACGGTTGGTAGTAAGCTAGCTTAGTAATAAGTAGTATGTAAGTTAAAGTAAAATTGTGGTCAGAGAATAAAGGCTTTATTATTGTATTATAATTATTACCCCTCAGTGGTGCCCCGCCAGCCTCTACCGTTACCATTCCACTGTCATCCCAGGGAAAATAAGTTTGTTTTATGAAAAAAAAAATCGACTTGTATCTCTCAGTTGGTAAAATTAGTTATACTGATTTAAAAACCAAACTGCTGATCTGTTTTTGATGGTATTTTTACACGAGCAATGTGTAAATATATGCTATCAGATAAAAAAAGAATCTTCCAAATCGGTTCACAACTGACCGAGTTATGAGGTGACAAACATGGCCGTGTGGTCCCGGCATGGAACTGGCCACGCCTTCCTTTCGGGTGTCGTAAGAGAAGACCAAGAGAGGGCGAGGGATCGGCAGCAGCGTTCCTCTTAAAACATGTCTAAAGCCTGACTGCGGTTGCTAATCCGTCTGCCAAGCGTGGCAACTACTGGCAAAACCCTCCAAGAAGGAGACTTATGTTCAGCATTGGACAGTTAAAAGCTGGTATGATAGAACATAAAAAATTTACCATCGAATTGAGAGTCTCCTTCTGTTTGAAGAAAAATTATTGGCGGCGCGTGAATGATGCCTCCTCTGATGTGGTTAGAGTTAACGTTACTTTGTTCTCTAACCATCAGGCGTGCCGTACACTTGTCACCGTTATTGTATAAAAAACTCAAAAGCCTTTCAGAATAATACACGTTTTTTTTATGCAACTTAGAATGGCAAACAAGCTGACGGCCCACCTGATGAAAAGTGGTAACCGTCGCCTATAGACATGAGCAGTACCGTGGATATAACAGAGTATACTGTTTCGCCCATGATACCCCCCATGCGTTACCATTACTGAGGACTCGGGTGTTAAGCAGTAATCTGTAATGTCCCACTGCTGGGAATAGGTTTATATAACGTGTTTACAAGTTTACTTATTTCGGCATATGATCTGGGCCATGGGCCCACCCCTTCCTTTCCCGTGAGTGTCGTAAGAGGCGACTAAGGGAGCGCGAGGGATGGGCAGCAGCGTCCCTCTTTAAATGCAACCAAAGCCTGACTGCGTTTGCCAATCCGCCTGCCAAGCGTGGCAACTACTGGCAAAACCCTCCCAGTTGGGGAGGCCTATGTTCAGCATTGGACGATTAACAGCTGATATGGTATATGGTACAAGTTTGTTTATAATCACCATGGTTAGACGCTACGCGATGACTCAGACAGTTTTTTCTGTTTATGGGTGAAAATGGTATGGTATCTCGGCCTGCGCTAACGGGATACGCTGGCGGAGCACCAGTGAAGGATGATAGATGAGAATGAAAATAGGCCAGTTAGCACATCATGATGAATTCATCAGGAAACTCGGCCAGTTTCGGAACCGATTTTAATGGGTCATTCTGATCCCGATAAGGTTTTCTTCTTACCAACGTTAGTCTGTCTACTCGTGTCTAGATTTAGAATCTATACTTATAATTGTAAAGTGGAAAAGCTCGATTGTTTGTTTGTTTGTTTGTAGTGGATTAACTCGAAAACTAATCAACTGAATTCCAATATTGTTTGACATATAAAAAAATCGCTATTATAAGCGAGTTTTTTTTTTTTAATGAGTGAAACTGAAATGGTAACCCTGCCTGCGCTATCGGTATACACCGGCGGGGCACCAGTGAAAGATGATAGGTGAGAATGAATGCAGGTCAGTTGGCCCACCATGATGAATTCGACAAGAATTAAACATGACGGTTTCCAGGGGGTAACCGCGTGGAGGTCGACCTGAGAGGGTATATTGCTAGCAGTGGGGCTATTAGACACCATTACTAACAATCCATTTCCCCCCCATTATAAGCGAGTTATATAGGCTAGGTAGATAGATAGATACTCTTTATTGTTTTCTCCAAAAGATTACAATAGTAAACTTATTATAGATACAAACAATTACAAGAAATGATCACAGTGAGAAAACAATGGGCGACCTTATCGCTAAGAGCGATCACTTGCAGGCAACCTTTAGATGGAGAGGAGTAATTATAAACAGATAGATAAATATATACCTATATTATTTTTAAAATATCTGCCTACCTGTGCGAAACCGGGCCAAGCCATTAGTATTAAATTTGTAATAATACCTTTATACGTAAGGTATTAAATAATTATATTTTAATTTTATTAAATATATAAAAAAATTTATTGCAAATTTTTTTTTGTAAAATATATCAATATTTATTCTAATAATAGTATTGTATTGTATTGTAAAATCTTTATTGTACATAATTCAAATTAAACACTGGTAAATGATTTAATACACAATGGCGGACTTATCCCATAGAGGGATCACTTACAGTCGACCTTTGGGAAGCTGAAAGAAAACTGTAGAATGTACAAGGGTAATAACTGTACAATTAAAGATAAACTAAATAATACCCAGTGAAAATATTGAATATATAATACAATTAAAACAGCTCTATACACCTACATATGTAAATAATAAAAGTACATGATTATTATAGTAATTTATTTTATAAATTTTCCATCCATTTGTGCTCTACAATTTAACACATACCTACCTTTCTTTACACATTTTTATGTTTTTTTTTTTATATTTTTATTATCATTTATAATATACCACTAATTATTTAAATAAATAAATTGCCCCTTTAAAAAAATAATCGATCGAATACCGAATTTTTTTGTAACACCAACACTGAAAGTGTAAAACACGAAAAAAAAATTTCAACCAGGCAAAGGAACGTGTCCGTACGGCCGTCAAACTCACCATTTCCAATTCGGCTAATTATATCCAAGCAAAATTCACACACTAAGTCAAACACAACACTGCACTTTAAACCGCGTGTACCATTTTATTTTTTTGTAACGCGTGCGATGAGCTTTGCTCGCGGGATGCGACTGAGTTCATACGAACTCTCATATGGTTCCGGTAAAGAAAGTGGGCGCTTGTTTATGGTACACTAGTGTGTACACACGACTTTACCTCGTATATGTTCATTGCAGGTATGCAATCAGCTTGTATAAATGCAGGAATTTACAACTCTCCTAAAAGCTGCGGTAGATTAATTTTTTTTTTTTCGTTTGTTTTATAAACGAAATTGGTCGGTAACAAAGCTTTATTTGTTTCTATTCTGGGTTATACTTAGATGTATAGATATATTATTTATTTGCATTACTTACAGCACACAAATAACAACATACATATACACAGTAAAAAGAGATAAAAGAACGCGTATATATATAAAAAAAAGCAAAATACATAAAAGAAGTAACAATTTTTTACCTTTATGCGCGTGCCACAGTAACACAAAATGGTCACAACTCGGTCTATTGTTTTGCCCTCAAAAGAGCAAAACACTGAAATTCTGTTAAGGTCAAAAGCCAGCCGCGAAATTCTTTCATAAAAATAATGCAAAAAAAAAGAACTATGAAGAAAGAAAGAAATAATTTAATCAAAGAAGCACGCGACCCATACATTAGCGCACAAAACGAGAACAAAAAAAAAAAACATAAAATAAAACAAACAAAAAAAAATAGTATACAAATAGAAAGCAATTAAATTAAATTTAGTTTAATTAAAATCTAAATTAAATAAAAATAAAAACAATAATAATATTGTACGCCGGTTTCTCTCGCTGGGGCCCTGAACCCCGGCCGACTGTGCTTCTGCCGGGGGTTAGTTTGCCATCTCCTTTCCTTAAGAGGGAAGATGTGATCTTTTGGAAAAAATAATAATAAATAAACAAACAAACAAACAGCAGGATAACTCTTGAATCCAACATCGATATTAATCCAAATCTATTGCCAATGACAGCTTTGTACTGCCCTTACGTAACAACAGTTAGGAATTAGGTTAGAATAGGGATCGGTTTACAATAGTTTGCATTGGCAAGTTGCTTTAATATTGCATTAATATGCATAATATACATTGTGTGTGTGTGTGTTCATTATATTAATATTTAATCATCATCATCATCATATAATTATCATCATCAGTAACAGACATCATCCAGCTACAATTTTACTATATTCGAATTATTAGAACTATTGAGGACAGAAGGGGAAAAATGTTGGGACACTTGATACGACACGTCGAACTTATGAACGTTATAATAGAAGGTAAGATAGAAGGAAGGAGGGGAAGAGGGAGACCGAGGCACAGTTACATCAGGCAGATCAAGTAAGCAGTTGGTGTCGTGTCGTATCAAGAGGTGAGGAGACTGGCTGACAATCGTAGTGAGTGGCAAGAGCTCCACCGACAAGAGCGCAGCTCTTAAATAGGATAGATAGGTTTGTGTAAATACCAAGAAGAAGTAACTTTTTTTTGATGGGTGAAAATGGTATGGTAACCCCGCCTGCGCTAACGGGATACGCTGGCGGAGCACCAGTGAAGGGTGATAGGTGAGAATGAAAACAGACCAGTTGGCCCATCATGATGAATTCATCAGGAATTAACCATGATAGTTTCCAGGGAGAACCGCTTGGAGGTGGATCTGGTTAGGTATATTGCTAGCAATAGGATTCTCAGTCTCCATTACTAACAATCCCTTTCCCCCCTTTGTAAGTATATTATTCTATATGTTTGTATGTTTATTTATCATAAATTGTCATCTCTCAAAATATTTATTTAATTTACAAATTGTTTTCGCTAGATCAACGCACCGCCATTTGCTCTCTCTGTTTAGCGTAACGGTCGACTGGTAGAGAATGTCATCAGGCATTGAGTGCGCCCTGTACACATTCTTCTAACGTGTGCAAAAGTATAAATATATAATATATATATATATATATATATATATATATATATATATATATATATATATATATATATATATATATATATATATATATATATGCGGTACAAGTCTGCAATGTAGACACATTAGACACCTAGTTAAGCATTTTCTTTTTCCAATATATGAGCTAGGAATGCGAAATCTTGAGCTTTTACTAGTAAACAATCATTAACATCCTTTTGAATAACACACGCCGATTTGTACCTTAATATTAAAATGAAAAGACTTAATTTCCAATAAATAATAACAGATGACACCTGCACACGGAATGTAAATGTGGCTTTCTAATTAAATATCTTGTTTAATAGACGATAAAGTTGAAAATTACTTGTACCGTTGTTTTGTTGGACAGGTTTCAGTGCAGCTGTCGGAAAGTGGCTGTGTGTATGTATGTTCATAAGCTAGACACGGAACTGACTGCCGCTTAATATTTGTTAAATAAATTAGTTGTAATAGTAATGGAGACTGAGAATCCCATTGCTAGCAATATACCCAACCGGGTCGACCTCCTCGCAGTACCCCCTGGAAACTATCACGGTTAATTCCTGATGAATTCCTCATGATGGGCTAACTGGCCTGTTTTCATTCTCATCTGTCACCCTTCACTGCTCCGCCAGCGTATCCCGTTAGCGCAGGCGGGGTTGGTAAACCCGGTAAACTGGTAACCAATTTTACCAGAGGGAGACTTTGTACTCTCCTTAAGGGGGGAGATGTGAATTTTCTAAAAATTTAAAAATAATAATATAAATTATAGTAAATAGTTTAATAAATGATATATGTTTGATATTTTATGCACGAAAAATTATTAATCCACTCTCGCGCCACCTGCCCACTTCTATCTGTTCTCCTTTAACCAAAGGTTGTCTGTAAGAGATCGCCCTAGCGATAACACCGCCTCTTGTACCTTTATGTGTATATTTCAATCTGTATTTATGTTACTGTATTTCACTTGAATTATTCACTTGTCATTGTACGAGTATATTTTTATTTATGGTGCAATAAAGAGTTAAATAAATAAAAAATAACCCTTAGAAAACACCCAGATTAATACACTCATACCCATGAAAATAACTTTGTACAAAAGTCGATTGCTTGTGCACCTCTGTCCCATTCGTGTTTCAACAGTAAAGCAGCTGCGCTTGCATGGCTGTGTTTCGGTTTGAAGGGTGGAATATGGCGTGAATTTACTGGGTACAGAGGAATAACACCTGAGTCCTCAGGAATGGCAACGCATGGGAGGTATCATGGGCGAAACAGTACACTCTGTTATGTCCATGGTACTGCTCATGTCTATAGGCGACGGTTACCACTTTCCATCAGGTGGGCCGTCAGCTTGTTTGCCGTTCTGAGTTGTATAAATAAAATGAACCTTTATATTCCGCTGGGATTGAACTCGCTGCTAATTGAATGTGAAGCAGTACCATCGACCACTCCACCATGAAGACACCGTCACACGTAAGGTGTCTGACGTCGATAATACCAGATCAAAACTTGTTTTATATATAATTTCTCTTTTCAACGGTGAACGAGGCGCGGTGGAATTTTTTTGGAGCGAGGAAAGTGTTCAGACCAGTTTGGCTATATTTGGACGGATTTATCACTACTGCTCGTGCGGGGGTGGCGCCCTCTGGTGTTGACTGGTTGGAACCCATATCTGCTGTTGATGTACACGAAGGGATTGTTTCCTGTCTTTAAAAAAAATGGAAAAATTATGTCAAGAAAGAAAACAAAGATCTAAACTCTTTTTACGGGGGAGGGGAGAGGGGATTGTTAGAAATATTAATGTATTAAGAGGGACGCTGCTGCATATCTACCTTTACTGTCTACCAGAGGGACACTTTGTACAAAAGTCGTTTGCTTGGGTACCTCTGTCCCATTCGCGTTTCGACCGTGAAGCAGTTGTGTTTGCATGGCTGTGTTTCGGTTTGAAGGGTGGGATATGGCAGTGAATTTACTGGGTGCAGAGGAATAACATCTGAGTACTCAGGAATGGCAACGCAGGGAGGGAACAGTATACTTTGTTATGTCCATGGTACTGCTCATCTCTATAGGCGACGGTTACCACTTTCCATCAGGTGGGCCGTCAGCTTGTTTGCCATTCTAAGTTGTTTAAAAAAGAAATTAAGTTCTCTTAGTCGCCTCTTACGACACTTACGGGAAGGAAGGGGAGGCCTATTCTACGCCGGGACCACACACATAATAATATAAGGCGATAATTATAGATGTCACAGTGTATTCTGTGACGTCCACTCTGCTGTTCTTGTCACCACTTTTTGTTTGCCAATACAAAGTATTTATAAAAAAATGCCCAAAGTGCCATATTATGTTTTTGTAACCGGTTATTACCGGACACATCCGGTTGTAATCGGTTTCACTATATCCATATTAGATCAATCTGTCGGTTTATGATAACTGTATGTTACCGAATACCAACTTTCGCTTAAATATCTCGTTTGATTTCATGAAACAGTAAACGTCTCTCTAACTCTCCCATACAGGTGGAAAGGGATTTTTAATAATGGGAGGTTAGTCCCCATTGCTATCAATATACCCTATCAGGTCATACTCCACGTGGTTTCCTGGAAACTATCATGACTAATTTATCTTTGAATTCATCACGATGGGCTAACTGACCTGCCTTTTCATTCTCACCTATCAACCCTCACTAGTGCCCCGCCAGTGTACATCGATAGTGCCAGACCAGAGGGAGACTACAGAGAGTACAAAAGTCGATTGCTTGGGTACCTCTGTCCTATTCGTGTTTCAACCGTGATGCAGTTGTGTTTGCATGGCTGTGTTTCGGTTTGAAGGGTAGGATATGGCGTGAATTTACTGGGTACAGGGGAATAACACCTGAGTTCTCAGGAATGGTAACGCATGGGGGGTATCATGGGCGAAACAGTATACTCTGTTATGTCCATGGTACTGCTCATGTCTATAGGCGACGGTTACCACTTTCCATTAGGTGGGCCGTCAGCTTGTTTGCCATTCTATGTAGTATAAAAAAAAGTGCAGGCGGGGTTACTATTCTATTTTCACATTAAAAAAAAACTCTCTGATACGTAATTAATACATATTGGTGTTTACGCCCTTGCTTTCCCATGGGTGTCGTAAG